AAGCAACCTTGAGGTAGTCGACCAGGTGCTCGTTGTCCTGTAGAAGCTCCTCCCATGTCTCTGTCTTCTCGTCAACATCAGGGTCGATATGGCGTGGCTGTTTGGGGTTGAACATCAGGGCGCCAACGGTGGGGTTGTGTGGCTCGTCGGACTGGCCAACGGAGTATGTGCCCTTAGCAGGGATCCATGCCTTCTTTGCAACCATCTTTCCTTGTGTGAGAGTACCAGTCTTGTCGGAGCAAATATCAGTGACACCACCAAGAGCCTCGAGCGACTTCAGGTTGCGAACAATGACGTGACGCTGCACCATGCGCTTTGTGCCGGCGGCCATTGTGATGGTCAAGACGACGGTAAGGGAGGCAGGAATCATACTGAGACCAGTGGCTACGGCGTAGATGATGACCTCGCTGTTGTTGGAGAAGCTGTTGGCGGCCAAAACGATGATTGCGCAGACGACGGCGACACCGAAAAGGAGGATGGCGAGACGAGCGAGCTTCTTCTGCAGGGGAGTACCGACGTTGACACCAAGGAAGTGGCCGACGGCATCGGCAGCAGTCAAAGACCATGCCTGGGCGTAGCGATGAGGTTTGGCTTTGCCATCAGGCTTGCGCTTGACTTCGCGGACGCGGGAACCCTTCTGTCGAAGAGACATGGCGATGGAACCGATCTCAGTGTACATTCCAGTAGCAAAGACGACACCACGGGCGCGTCCCTTGGTAACGGTCGAGGAGCTGTAGGCGACATTGAGGCGGTCACCAGGGCCGGTGTCCTCGTCGAAAACGGCATCGCCATCTTTGTTGACTGGGAGGGATTCGCCAGTAAGTAGAGCCTCGTCGGTTTCAAAGTTTAGGGCTTCGATGATACTGGATGCGAGTCAGTGACGTACAAACTAGTTTAGCGCAATTCAACGTACCGGATGTCAGCAGGGACAGTGTCACCTGTCTTTAGCTCAATCAAATCACCGGGAACAACCTCAATGGTTGGCACAGTAACAGTCTTTCCGTCTCGCGCAGCGGTGGCTGTTGGCGAAGAGAGTGATCGAAGCGAGTCCATTGTCTTTTCAGCATTGAACTCTTGGACGAAACCGATGATAACGTTGAGCAGAATGATGGCGGTTACTACACCACCCTCAATCCACGATTGAATAGCGAAGGACACAGCCATTGCAGCGATCAAGATCTGGAATTTGTTAGGATTGTTACATTGTGTGCTCATTGAGGTAACATACCAATGTCATTGCGTTGGCGACCTGCCTTAGCAGAATCTTGCCTGGTGATACACCTCCATCGTCGCCCAGATCGTTGTTGCCGTACTTCTCATGTCTCGACTTTGCTTCCGCAGTAGTCAGACCGTCTTCGTCGTTACACTTGATCTCGGCGACGACGTCCTTCCATGGGAGGGCATGTGCGGGTTTGGAGAGAGGCTCGTTAGCCTGGCCGGACTTGTGGCCCTCGAGAGACGGTGCCTTCTTGCCCATAGTGAGTGATTTCTGGTGCTAAGAAGTGAATGGGATGCAGACAAAAGATCTAGATCCGGGGACATGGCAGACTTTAAACAAGCAAGTTGGCACGCGGGTGCACACACCATGAGAGCAGCCAAGAACCGTGCGATATCGAGAGCTTGGCGTGATGGTGACTATCTTGGGACCGGTGCAGGGAACGTCATCGTCGGTAACGGTCGGCACTCGTCAACAAAGAGATGCATGCATGTCCGCAAACGTTTGGTTGTCAGCCCTCTGGATATACTGGATGGCACATCTGACCCTGCCTGCCTTTTACCACACTGCACAACAGCATCATCGAGTAACGTTGAGACGATTGAGCGGCAGATGCCACCCCAAAGTGCTGTTAGTAGTGCCGGGCATGACGACAGCGGGGTTGGTAACACCCGTTCACCAGCACTGCGAGCGGGGATGAGTGAAAAGAGGTGGCGAGCTGTTCGGTCCCAGCCAAGCATCCCGCTCGCCTACGATCCGCCTAGCCGTGCTAATTTCTCGGCGCAGGCGTGATTGTGCCGACTTCCGTACCGAAGCCACAACACCAACGTCATTCTGCGCCAGATTCCAAGCACGCTGCCATCGACTACAGATGCTCAAGCCACTTACCTTCACGGACACCCTTCCGCCAAGCCTCGATTCTCTCGTATCGCTCCAGGCGCCCAACACCTTCCCGAGCGTCCTCCGTGGAACCTGCTGAGGTCGTCACGCCGCATGCTAACGGCGAAGCTTAACACCAACATGACAAGGCGTATTTCGCCTGGATATCCCCACTCAGGCGGGCTCAAGCCAGCCTCTTGTCGCTCTTATCTGTCACCGGTGGCTTGACTGCAGCGCCGAGCTTTCCGTCGCGGGTCACGAGACTCAACAATCACTTCTGCATCCGCGCCAAGCACCAAGGTCCGCTTACTCCACACCTTCCATCTTGATTACGGAAGGTTCTAGTCGCAAGCTAGATCGGTCGTAATACTTGCGTCTGTAACATGCTCAGCTACTTTGTCACGGTATCACAAAGGCAGAATCCGGTACACTGAGCACAATAACTTCAATTGCCGTCATGGAGATATCATACACCAGGGAAAACTTTGCATCCATTTGACAGCCGTAATGGCCTCAACTCACTACATGCGCATAAAAGTGGGCTTACCCCACTTCTACCACGATTCAGACAAGCACGCAAGCGATGGGTCTCTTGGAATATCCCACGCCTTGGCATGCCTCACGCCATTTCTGTGCCGCGATCTAGTCTAAGCATCCCAGTCCTCCGAGCACCCATCGGAGAACCAGATTTTGTCGCTTATATCTCTGTCTAACATTTCAACGGCGATGCGCTCTTTCACAGCGCGACCCAGGCTCGTTACCACCTCATCTCCTTCAGCTGCAAGCGAGAAGCCGCCAGTGAGATGCTCAGCTACACTTTCGGTGGTATACATGCCGGGTCGGTATATATTGTTGACACGGGTCTGGTATTGAGAAAGTCTGGCGAATCGAACACTTATCAGGCAAGGAGACATCGTCAACTGCTTGAAGATCGTAAACCAAGTTGCATCTTTTAGCTCGACGAGTCCCGGTTTCAGCTTTCGTCCATTGACCACTTGAACCACTCCATCCTCGTCGGAATCAGAATCTTCGACATCCGCAAAGTCGGAGGGCTCAAACGCATCTTCGTCGTCAAACCAACCATACAGATTCGCGCCACAAAGGTGAAGGCTCTGCAGGGTTTTTCGGTGCTTGAACAGAACTCTCTTGAAAAGAGGTGATGCTATCGGACTACTACGGATGTCGAGGTGCGTGAGAGTAGGGAACTGGGTCCATCGAAGGAAGGTGGGCACATTCTCGCTACACAACGTAAGCGACCTGAGATTACCGCTGACGGACTGCAGCAACCCCATGATCCACCACTTCTCAAAGACTTCGAATGTCCGGATGAACTTCAATTGTGTAACACGGTGCTGAGCACGTGTCCAATCGGAGCTCGAGATATCGAACGGTTGTTTCTCGTAACGCAGTACCATCGTATTCAGTGCGACTTCCAGAGTCCAGTTTTTGCGGTCTTCGATACCTCGCAGCGCCGAGAGCACTTTGTCGATGTGGCCATGTAGCTTACCGCGGCAGGAGTCTCCTTCGTTGCGAAGTGCCCATTGAGGGCTAGCCCAATGTCCGTAGGCTCCCCAGCCCATTTCGCGAAGGACGCGCTTCGAGCCCCAAGCCTCAGTCCAGGCAGCAGCATCATCGTCTTTCTTTGGGTAAGAGTCTTTCGGGTAAGAGTCAATGCGTACATGCTTCAAGTTCGGGAAACCTCGCAGTGCCGACTTCAACATTTCCACTGCTTCATCGCTGGCATCGAACTCTTCCTGCTCTTCGACAAGCTTTGCGTGCTCTGGCCCATACGTCTTGGGCCAGTCTTCCTCCTGCTCTTTAGAATTGCAATTCTTTAGCTTCCAAAAAGCCATGTATCCGTTCACGTGCTCAGGTCCGATGGCCACTTCCTCGACGTAATTTCTGAAAACAGGATCGATGGAGATGCTCAGAAGGCATTGGAGACTGGCGCGGGACAGCATATGTTTTCGGGTAGCAAAACAGCGTTTTTTCCAGCCGTCATATGTTGTTTGTTGTATACGCCGGCTTGTAGAGCGCAGATTGCAGAGGTCGTCGCCGGAAAGAATGGCCTTGCCTTTGGCGTTGGTGCTTTGCGTTACTAATGTCATGAGCTCGACGGGTAGAGCTTCTAGGCCTGGCTTTGGAGGCGTTGTAGCTGCTGTGGATATATCGAGGGTCTTGAGCTCCTCGGAGAGAGCCTCTGGATCTTGCTGTGGAGACGCCATAGCTGTGGATTAACTGGAATACGTTAGTGGGTATGGATGGATTGCGTCAATGTCGTGGTTGTAGTGATTCGGTTGACCAACACTTTCTGTGGGGGGAGGGAAGAGTCTGAAGAGCTTTGGAAGGTGAGATTTGAAGGGTTCGAAAAGGGTACGTGCGTTGAGAGAACACAGCTGGAACGCCGCCACCGAAGCAATGTGAATGCAACGACTTCACTGTCGCTTCGCCTCACAACATGCCTAAGAGGAGAACCTCCGCAGAATACGCTATGAAGGAGCATATCACGAAATTCAACACAATCTTCTTCACACTGTTACTGCTGGGATAGTAAAATGCCATATTCATGCTTTTGGGTTCTCAGTGTCTCCGCTCGACATAGTAGCCTGTAGCCACGTGCAAATGCATCCGCAACAAGCCTTGCCACGCTTTCAATGGCCGCTGCTGACGCTATTTGAGTGAAGCCCCAGGATCGATCGAGTTGAGCCGACGCCTCTACCATTCGTAGAGCACGGTAGTGGATGCTTCCAACAAGATAGCTAGTTCGGCGGCGGTGTATTGAGCATCAGGATTGACTTCGACTGCACTTCCACTGTCTGCTTGCCTTTTGAGAACGACTGGCGGTGGGTCTAGCTCCGAGTCGTCACCAGGAGTGGGGTTAAACACCGTACCTAGACACACGTCATTAGCCAAATCCACCCCATGACCATCGTATCCAAAGCTCACCACGATACGAAGGACCAAAAGTCCTATCCATCCACGCAACTGCATCCGAAGCCCGGAGATCATAGTCGTCCCATGTCGGCCTCCAGCAACACTGTGGGATATGAATGCTCCACTCAATACCCATCGAGGAAAGCACGTCCAGCGCAGGGTGCGGATACGAGGTAAACGCAAAGTCAACATATGAGCCTCCAACCCAGCTTGAACACGCGATACCAATATGCTCCAGCACAGGAAGCTGCTTCCGATAGTAAGATAACGTGGTGAGCCAGTCAAGGAATGCCAGCTCTGGAAAATGGACCTTCAAGGTCTCAAGAGTTGGGGGCAGCATCTCATCCGCCGGTTGCTGGATATGCGCCCATTGTGGCTCACCTCGTCCGAACAGGCACTGATAAGGTACCAAAAGATGCCTGAGCGCCTTGAAAATAAGGAAGCCATCTCCGGGTAGTACGTGGTCTAGAAAGCTGGTGTCCTCCTCACTGCAGTGAGTGGATGCGTCTAGTTCCAACCTTGTTAAGACAGGCGCCACTGACATGAGCTTCTGGAATAAGGCAGTATAGCTACCTTGATCGTCGCGATCGAGATTGAAGTGTGAACGGGGTCCGGCTACTCCTTCATCGGCATCGTTGAAAGGCATACGCAGAATTTCCAAGCGAGGGAAGTGTGCGAGGAAGGGAGACAAGGCGTCATAGTGGCTACAAGCTGGATTGAGAACAGCGGATTGTACCGGGATTGTGAGAGATTTGACAGCAGTATTGATCGCAGACGAGTCTCCGTCGGCCAGGATGTGGCTGGGACGAGTGAGAACAATCTCCTCTAGAACTGGGGACTTGGCGAGTACCCAATGGAACTCAGTGCCTTCGAATTTGAGGCTTCGTAGCTGTTTTAGTCCGGGGAATCTCGTGAGATGTGCTGTGCGATTATCGAAATGGGAGATTAGTTTGCTCAAGCACTTGGAAACGAGCCTGGGCCTGCCATCGTCGTCCTCGTCGGCCTGTACAATCGACAAGCTAAGGAATTCGAGCTCGGTCATTTGCCAGAAGAGAAGAGCGCAAGCGATGCGAGTTTCTTCTATTTCTGCTCGGATGGTAGAGGGGAACATCGCGCCCTGTGGTACAACACCAAGCGTGGGAACCTCGATACTCATCATGCGATCAACGACTTTGATGACGAGATATTCAGTCTTCCTGGACAGATCCGGCCGCAACTGGATTGTCCGGTAGAATGGCCATAGATCTCCCGCGAAGCCCCAGCCTAGGACCACATCGCGATATAGCTGTCGTTCGACAAGCGCGCGCAGCTCAGGGCTTATGCATGCGATGCTGGCAAGACGGAAGTGCGAGGAATGATCGATAACGGACTGAAGAAGCTCTGTGGGTAGTCTTCCTAGACGACTATCAGCATATGGAAGAGCGCTGCCCATAGCCTCGTCGTGGCCTGGTGGTGAGGTTGTTTCCATGGCCATGAGCCGCGCAGCTATTCACTTTCCTGATCGGGTGGTGTCAGTAGTGGGGTGTTCGATAAAGTGGCGTATACATATAAGAGGTAGGAAGTGAGGTGAGAACGATACTATCCCTTTTTGGACCAAGCGCGGTGCAGGTAAGAGAAAAGGCTGCTTCACCTTCAATTGCTTGATGTAGGCAACAGTACACTCATCCCGCTCAACATGCTGTATGATATAGAGATGAGCATTTGTGCATTGGCGAATCGAAGGCCATCTATTCATGGACATCCTGGAATCGTCCCGGCACCGCGACAGTATGACCTATTCAGGCAATGCCCTATCTTGTATGGCCTGATACAAACGCTGCTCCACAGCAGCGCTATTAAAGAAAATTGCCGCGTCTTCGCGTGACCACGATACGTTCACAGACGCCGGAATCTGTTTAATAAACCATCTGGCAAAGCGCTCCAACTTCTCGTATTGAATCCGCTGTACTTCCAAAGCTTTAGGATCCGTAGACCCCGCTGCAGTTAAGCGGTAGAATTCACTCTCCGTGAAGGTGATACTGATACGCTCAAGCTTGAGCATGTAGTATATGCGGCCCATGGGGTTCATCCATGATTTTGAGGGGTAACACCCGCCGGATGGATCTTTACGGAACTGAAATTCCAGCTCTTTCAGAAGCTGCAGGATAGTCGGGTTTATTGTAGTTGACATGTGTAAACACTTGAGGCCGTGGCCATATTTTATTGCGCTTTCTTTGTCCATAAGGCCGGGTTCCACTTGAATGAACATTCTTCGGCTCCCGTAGAAGAGCTTCCTCACTTCATTGTGTATCTGCCTGTTGGTTCGCATGATGTTGAGGCGTGGACGCGTGACGTGTTGACGTGAAGGGTCAAGGACGATGCGAGGCCCGGGGGGAAGAAGGAATGAGTATGTGTGGAGGCGGAGCTCAGCGGGAAGTCGGAGGAAGGGAAAGGGTTTGGCTATTCCATATCAGCAGAGTCAGATTATGTGGTCCCTTCTGTACATACCTCTTTCCTCAAGTATGGCAAAGGCGCTTTCGAGGTTGGTTTCGCAGGCAATGTCAATATCTCGCAGTAGAGGACGTATCTCTGAGAATATAGGTGTTGGTCCCGCCCACCCGGATAGCTTGTACTTGTTAGCATACGGCCTGCCTTGTAGCACGTTCTTGTATGCTTCAGCATAAGCATCGGCAGTGGCGCGCGGCCCCGTGAGGCCTTTTACTACGAGGTAGAACCTCTCCGAGCCAGCGACGTAGACGGAGCCTCCAGATGGGTTTGTTTTGCAGGCATCGTCAATATTGGCAATATCATCTTCGCTAGGACTATCTGGCCGTATGCTCGATATGACACGATCGAGAGCTTGTAGCTTTAGCTTCAGATGACCAGCATCTGCGAGAGAAAAGCGCTCCGTGTCCGTAGAGGGTTTAGGCAGAGTCGGCCGCAAGATCTGTTGTCGGGCGTTCAGATCGTGAATGGTGCGAACGACCATGGTGTTGAGGGGTGGCGGTGTGGTGATGTCGTCGACGCGCGACGCGAATGGAAGAGCAGTCGGCTGCCCCGCGCGTTGGCCAGTGATGTAACTAGCCGCTCCGGCCATGCTGCGGCCCTGAAATCAGAGGCACATGCAAGACACCAGCGAGCCCATGCAATCCCATGTTTCTGACACCTGCCACCGCCCCATGACTGTATAACATGCCTCTGCCCGCCATTACCCTCTGAGCCCCTCTCCAACGCCAACACGTTTCCTCGACGCGTCCATCTTCGCGTGCTTTGCCGATCGCCCCGCCCAAGGCCGCTGGCTCCACCCTTCCAAGCTTCACGATACCACGCAAAGTCCTGGCTGAGCAAGCTGCGCGTTGGCGGCGACGCCCCTCCAGTCGACAGAATGGCTGCCCCGGATAACAAGCAAGGCTTCCTCTCCAACCTCTCCCCCTGGCCTTCACGCGCCGGCACTCCCAAGCCCCCAGCGACACCCAAGGCCGAGGGAAGTGCGGACAAGGCGAAGAAGGCAGAGCAGGAGAAGGAGAAGGATAGAGCTGCGGCAGTGCTGGCTCCCCAGCAGGGAGGAGACCATGTGATTGACCGGAGGTACAGGCTGAGTCTCAAGCGGTACCCCAAGGACTGTCCTCCGCTGGCTGTGAGGTGGTTCCATGCTATAGATGTAAGTAGTCAATATACACCTTTGGGCTTTCGTCATCTCCACAGCGCTCCTGCCTTCCGTTGCGGCACTGACTTTGGCAGACGCCCAAGCGCAAACCTCTCTCGAAACATGCCATGGCCCCAGACACGGCCCTGCCCAAACCCAAGAAATGGATACCCTTCGGCGCCAGCGACTCTCGCGCCATCGAGGCCGCCTTCCAGAAGACTGCCGACGAAGCTGATGCCGACGAACTGCGAAAGGGCATCATCAGCCCCACGACGCCCACCCAAGCGAGCGCGACTCCTCCCAAAACCACAAAGGTGCCCGTCAACGAAGACTACCTGTTCGATGTCGAGATCGAGACACGCGAGCTGGCGCCTTCATACTGGCTGGGTCCTGTATACGATGTGAAGCGAGGGACCTGGTTCACACCGGATGGGGAGGCTGTCGATGAAGGTCTAGCCATGCAGCTCGAGGAAGGCTACCTGAAAGTCAAGCCATGGAAGTTCGGGAAGCCGGAAGAGAAGCGAGCAGTTTCGCAACCCCGCGCTCGGCCGCTCTCTATGGGCCCAAGTGCTGGCGAGGACCACCGCAAAGAGCTGGCCAGGCTGAATCGCGATTCGACATCCAACCCAGTCACGCCCAAGTCGTCATATGATAATCTACAAAAAGAGGCTTCAAAACAGTCGAATGATTCCAACCACAGCGATGCATCTACAACCTCCAATGCGCCCGCCGACTTACCGCGCACACACCGACTGTTCGGCGCACATCTGAACTCCACCGTTACCTATCAAGACGAGACGACAGCCTGGATGTTGACTGATGACATGTGGTCGCGCATGGGCAGTACCCTGTATCAGCGCTTCGCTGGAGGAGCGCATTATGCTGGGTACAAATACATCCGAGGGTACACTGATCCCAAAGAAAAGAAAAAACAACCGACACCAGGGAAGGGCCCTCAAAGCGCAAAACTGGAGGATCGGCCGGCTACACCCGCCCTGGCATATGGTTCAGATCACGGCAAGCAGTCGGACTCTGACGCCGACGGAGAAGCGTCGGAAAATGAACGAAGCATGTCGCCTTCCCAAACGCGCAGGCGCAATCTCGAACGACAGGTCTCGTCACTGATGACATCCTCGAAACCAGAATATGAGCAACAACAAGAAGAGGAAATGCGAAAGCGTGAGGAGAAAGAGATGCGTGAGGACTACAAAACGCAGCACGGCAGTGATCAAGACCGTGACATCGAGCATCTGCTCTTAGTAACACATGGCATTGGACAACGGCTCGGAATGCGAATGGAGTCTATCAACTTCATCCACGACGTCAACACACTGCGCAAGTCCCTCAAGTCTGTCTACTCAGCTTCGCCCGATTTGCAAGCCCTGAATGCGGAAACGGACTCAGAGACCAAGAACAACCGCATACAAGTCATCCCCATAATTTGGCGGCACTTATTGGACTTCCCTAAGCAAAGCTTGAAGCACAACCGCAAAGAACACGACCTTGGCGATCTCGACCACGAAGATGAAGAGTATCCTAATCTCGAGGACATAACCGTTGAAGGTGAGTCAAGCGATCTGGTCCTGAGCCAGAACAAATACTAACAATACAGGCGTCCCCGCTGTTCGCAATTTTCTCACTGATCTCGCGCTTGACATCTTGCTGTATCAAAGCCCCGCTTACAAGGGGCATATTTCTCGCATCGTCGTTAACGAACTGAACCGCACCTACCGCCTATTCAAGGAGCGCAACCCATCTTTCAAAGGCAAAGTGAGCTTGGTCGGGCACTCGCTCGGGTCTGCCATCATGTTCGATATTTTATGCATCCAAAAAGACCCAAAAGCCAAACCAAGCACACAATCGGCCAAACAACGAAGATCTACCGAAGAAGGTCTGAAGCTGGACTTTGAGGTGGAGGACTTCTATGCTCTTGGATCGCCTATTGGCCTGTTTCAGATGCTCAAGGGGCGTACTATCGTTGGACGACCGCAGAATTCTACCACTGGGTTTGTTCCACCAAAGACGCCTGCGACATCGATTGATGACCCGTTCTCACAAGGCGGAGACGAGCATGCATTCGACATCACGACTTCCTCGCCTCTCTGCAAACAGGTCTTCAACATCTTCCATCCGACCGACCCGATCAGTTATCGCATCGAGCCGTTGATATCGCCAGCGATGTCAGCCCTTAAGGCTCAGCCTCTACCTTATACCAAAAAGGGCATCTTCGGTGCGCCTGCATCGCAAGGCTTTACTGGTATTGGACAGCGCGTTGGCCAGGGTGTGACAGACTTTTGGACTTCTCTAGGATCTGGTAAGTTCAGATCGCCTCGGACTACCTGACATATTATTACTATGAGCTATTTGCTGACAACACATGTGCTAGGTATCGCCAGTGGACTACTCAACCGCAGTCTCGGCATATCAGGAACCGAGATGACAGGCGCAGGGAGCAATACACAAGGACAGCGCACCTCTCGACCCCTCACCGCCGCGGCACCCGCCCCAAATAGCGCTGTCAATCTCGTGCCAGGACTCAACGAGCCTACCAGTGCCTTCATCAGCGAAGAGCGTCGCCGCCGCCTCGGACAAGAGACCATTGCCGAGGGCACAGATGGTGAACACCCTCCCACCCTCATCGAAGGCGACATTGAGACACTCTTTGCTGGTTTCCAAAAGCGAAGAGCGAGCCAACAAAGCGAAGACGGCGAGCGAGACGTAGAGAAGGATCTCGAATGGCAGGAGCTAGAAGAACGAAGTCGCAAACTTAAGAAGGAGGAAGCCAAAGTCCGGGCGCTGAACAGTAACGGTCGCGTGGATTACAGTATTCAAGAAGGCGTAAGTAACAACGTCTTCTCTATGTGTAGCTTGCGGTTCTGACATTGCAACAGGCTTTTGATATCTCGCTACTGGCTAGTATAGCGAGTCACATGACATATTGGGCCGACGAGGATGTTTCGCATTTCATGATATCGCAACTTTTGGCGAGACATCGCGTTTTCAAGCCGAAGGAGTGAGTGTTGTTTGTAGATTTGGCAGTAGATTGATGATATACCCTGAATAGATTCCTGATATCTTCATTGATGGACGCGAAGAGGACGATAGTGAGTATCATGGGATGACTTGGTTAGTCTGGCCTGTCCGAGTTGTTTTGACCTTGTCATCTTGGGCTAATGCACCCTTCCGCCGGTGATCATTCTAGAGACGACAGGGCTTTTCTCCGCCAGGTGTTTGCTGCAACGCGCGGACGTGCGTTTGCTATGCGCGCAGTCTTCTTTGTTTGTTTTCCTTACCCAAATAGGCAGTGCGCGCTTTCCTTACTTTCACGCCCCGGAATTCGCATTGGGAAGCGCGTCGCACAGACATTTCGAGTAGCATGATCTCACTGACCGCGAATAAGGCAGTCGCGACATCGACCCGCACAGCCACCTCTCCACCCGCACCCGCAACGATGGCCACTCCAACAACCAATTCGACAACCGTACCCGCTACCGCTACCGCCACTACGTTCAATTTCCTACGTCGCATCAGAACGCGGGTCGTAGATTTCTTCCTCCCCGAAAACATCCGCCAAGAATATCGCAGGATTATCGCGCCCCTAGCCAAATACAGATATGCATTTGTCGCACTTGCCGCCAGTACTCTGTTTGCGGTCGCAGAGTACGAGCAGCCCGGTTACTTCCCCAGACCCCAAGAGTTGACCAACGCCGTGGTATGTACGTCGAGGAAACTACGTGGAAGACATTACTAACGGCTTGTAGATCGGCTTCCTGTGTGCGAGCATGCTGATATTCGCTGCGTTCGCCTTGATGGAATACACCGAGACTCACACCTGGCCTTGGGAAGACGAGGGCTTCGTGTGGCCGTGGCAAGCGCTGCTGTGGAGTCAGACTGCATACGTCGATGAAACGATGGGAGAGAGCGTCGCTGCGTATCGCAACATGAACATGATGGCGTCCTCGATCCGGGTAGGTGGAGGTGAAGAAGCTGTGGTACTGGAGGAGACTGCATCTTGGAACGACAGTACCAGATCCATGGCTGATTCTACACTCGGCTCTACTACCCCGGCTGGCTCGCCCGCTCGACCCGACATCGTCATCCCGCCTACGCCCTTGCTGCCTGGTGGCCTTCGACCCATCCACCTTCCACCACCGCCGGTGCATCATTCTGGTCTCTTGGGGGAGTCGCCGGCGCCGATCAAGTTCAAACACTTCAGCGGGCACCCCAGCCTGGATAATGTTGATGAGGAGTAGATTGGGGTAGCCTAGAGGTGTACGCGGACGTTTGAGGCAAAGTAGGAGGGGATCTTGGGATGTCACGCTATACTCCAGTGGCATACAGGC